GATTTTTGAGCCCCGCCGGGACGGGGTCCTGTCCAGCCTGCTCTGGGTGACCCTGCTTCGGCAGGCGGTTGGACTGGGTGACCCACAGAGGTCCCTTCCAACACCCAACATTCTGTGATTCTGTAACAACCCTCCTAGCCTTCACCCGACTGTCCTTCTATGTGCTGTATTCGAGGTTCACTTTTTCTCCCTGTTTTCAGGTCCTTCATTTGTATTTCTCTCGGAGGCAGGGGGTGCTGGTGCTGCTCATACACTGGACAGGAGTGCCAGATGAGCACCAGGTTATTGCTAGCCCAGAAATGTTTCTTTCTGCCCTTTGTCTCTTCTGCTTCTGAGCAAAGGAGGAGTCTCAGAGCAGTGAAGAGAAATTATGTACTTGATTCGTAGCCACAGTGCTCATCCTCCCACAGGTCATGCTTTTTGATCAGTTTAATACTTTTGGGTCATGTGGGACTATGGAATATAGCCAGGCTGCCTCCGGAACCCCGCTCTGTCGGCTGCGTGAGTGCAGCCAGCCAGAATTTACGTTTTCGTCAGGCTTTTTTTTTCCCCTTCCTTTTCCCATGTACTTGTCATTTGGTCGTTTGGCTTTCAGTGACTCAACTGCAGTTGCTCCAGTTCAATTTATTTCATCACAAAGGGCCTGGAGTAGATACCCTTATCAGCAGAGGATGCTTTCCTTGTGGCGTTTCCCCCAGGTAATATCTAATTATCTTTGGTAACAGGAATGAACAGAGAGATACTAAAAGGGCTACGGTATTCCTGGCACAGTGCTCTTCACACATGGTGATGAGCTTGCACTCTTCTGTGCGCTCTTGTAGTTGTGCCAGCCGCAGTCCAGTGCCTTTATTATGTGTTGTGTTGTGGCTTCTGTAACTGAAACTGAATCTCTGTCATTAGCTTTGTTAAAATATTGACAGTTTACCACTTTTATAGCGTTTTGATATAGTATATTGCTTCAACTAGCTACAAATTCTGTACTAACATTGACTTTTCCAAGCACAAATTCTGATTAAATGAATGTCGTAGTTGTCATGTCCTGTGTGATACCATCTTTATGATCACATAAGGTAGAACTGTGTCCATCAACATGTTTAAATTCAATTTATTTTAGGGCATTCTGCCATAAGCACAGATGTAGCACATACAAAAAATTCTCCAAGTCAAGGTTGCGGAAGGTGTTTGGTCAATCAGACATCAATTTTCTTTCACAGGGATTGCCTTTGTTAAAATATTTGAAGAGTTTATGTTCTTCTGAAAGCTGTTGTGCTGCAGTTTAGTAATGGGGTGATAGGGAACCAGCTGACGGGCTTTTCGGTGAGGGAGACCGCGCTTGGTATGTACTCTCTGCACTTTGTCATTTCAGGCTGTCATCAAAGAGCAGCTCCAGGAGTCTCATGGGCTGTGCGAATATGCAGTCTATGTTCAAGGTATGTCACAAAAGGCCTCCAAAAGTCTTAATTTTGCTAAAGTAAGTTACTCCTGGTTTGTGGCGCAGTGAACAATAAGGGGAACAGATGATAGAAACTCATAAAATTAATATGTGAAAAATATTTGGGCATTTTTCTACTTGCTAGGTCTAGTTTTGAAGTTTGGTATTTTGACATGAATGGACAATTTAGATTTTCTGTTTTCTCTGTATCGGTGCATTTGTCAGTGATTCCTCCTTGGACCGTGGGCTCTTGGCCTTCAGTGTGTCACTGTGTGCTTGGGTTGTGTGTTTGATTGTAATCTAGATCCGTGTTTTCTGTTAGAGCTGTGTGCCTCAGGTGACCGTTGTCTTACTGTTTGCTTTAAGGACAGTCTTCCTCTTCGTGTCCTGCCCTCTGTCCCCTCAAAAATGTGCCCCAAAACTTGGTGTTGCAATTCAAAGTGCTGTGGTGGGGGACAGCCAAGATTTGTTGGCCAAGGACATACTGCAGCCTGCAGAAGCTGGGGAGGGGAGAAATGCAGACTGGATCTTAATGAGCCATTGGCCGGGGTTTAGAGCTGCCTTTGTTCTGAGATTTTTGTAGGCATGCACCATTCTGTTGCATGTGTTGCCAGTCTGTGCCCTCGGATACAGCTTCCGCCTGAGATTGCTGCAGGAGGGGGAAAGACCAAATAAGCATTGGTGTAATAGATCTGTACTCCCCGTGCTTTCCCTGCTGTCAGAGAGGCATGTTTTTCCTGCAGATAATGGGCTAATTTGCCTGCTATGTGTTGTCTTACAGCTTTGATATTTCGCTTGGAGGGGAAAATTCAAGAATCTCTTGAACTTTTTCAGACGTGTTCAATTCTGAACCCTCGGAGCGCTGACAACCTCAAACAGGTGGCACGATCGCTGTGAGTGGGGTTTTATTGTTTCTCTTTGATGTGTCACCCAGGACCTTCCATGTTTTGTTTTTCTCCCAGGCATCAAGTAAAATCCCAGGCTGCTTAATTCCAAACATGCTTCCTCCTTGTCAACACTTGAGTTGGCTTCCAGAAGCGTGGCCTACCCTGAAAAGCAGGATCTCTTGTTATCTGCCTGGCTGCTATTGTATTTTCTTTTCCTTTGTGCTTTAAGCAAGAGAGGTAACACGCTGATTTCTAGCTCCAGAGCTAAGGGTGCTGACATGAGCTGTGTAAACTTGCCCTACAGACCCTTTCCTTTCTCTTAGCATTCGGTTAGATTGCCTGTCTTTTTCTGTTGAGACAAAGGCAGACCACAGTAACGTCAGGGAGTGCCTCAGCATCTTGCAGGATTGATGACCTTGACCCTGAAAGGGAGCAGTGCTCAGACTTACACAGGTCTCTGGAGAACTAGCAAATAGCGTCATTTCTCACTGGCAAAGGTGATAGTGGTTGCACAGCAGGGTTTCAAAGCAAGAAGAAATAAAAATTTAAATGCTTTTGCAGGTTTCTTTTGGGGAAACACAAGGCAGCCATTGAAGTGTACAATGAAGCAGCTAAACTCGATGAAAAGGACTGGGTAAGTGTTTCAGTGAGTTGCAGATTATTGTAGTATGCAGATGTTTCTGCAGTTTTATGAAGACAGCTGCAAACTTGTTCTGAGCAGAGGTGAGCTTGCGCTGCCTGCAGTCTGAGCAGAGGAGGAGCTGCAGGGCTGAGAGGCATTGCCCTTTAGCACAGGCTCACGAGCCCGGGTGAGCCTCTGCAGCGTCTGGTTTGAATCACTGGAGCAAGGCATCATTTCTGCCTGCAACATCCCACACCTTGTCTTGGGACGCAGAGGATCGAGCAACACATTTGAGCTGTGCAGAGTTTCAGTATGAACATAGCCAGATACATACATTAAGGAAAGTATGGGAAGTAGCTCCCTCTGTGGAAACCCTCAGTTATCATTAAAACTTGCTTGAGTGATCGGGAAACCTTTTGTGATGCAAAACACCGTTGAAAAAGATTGCTGTCAAACTAGCCGAGAGGGTTACTTGGTACCTACCAAGCATTACCTGCTTTGGCAAAATGAAGTCTGATAGCTACGGGAGCAATAATTATATCAGCTCTTCTATATAAGAAGACATTAAGTGAAGGAAGAGCATTGCAAAGGGAAACATGTGACAGGGGGTGAGAGGAGAGAGGACGTGGCTTGCAGTTAGTTGTGGGCAGCCTGCTGCAGGTGACTGTTTTGCCTGCGGAAGTGTTGTTTCTAAGACAGACTTGCTACATGTGATCTCATTCCCTGAGATATCAGGCACTCACTGACCTTAGCTGTACTTCTGGTGCTCACTGCATCTAAAATTCAGGCTTGATACAAGGATACATTTGGTATTATTCAACTTGTCCTGTGCCAGACAACTCAGAAAGCTTTTATACTGAGGATCTTCTTTCAAGTCTGCATTCCCTTAGCTGACCAAGCTACCTGCAGTATGTGCTTGGCATGCCTATAACCCTATTGACAACCACAGCAGGCAGACTCCGGTGGGTATTTTGATATGTTATTTCCCATAACTGGCTCAGCACTGGAAGCAGAGCCAGCCTGGGCTCTTCCCTTGCGCTGTTTCATTCTGCAAGCTGCAGTAACCAGGAGTTACTGATTCGTTAATGTTCTCCACAGTTGGAAAGACTGTGTGGAAGAAAATATCATTCTAAAAGGGTTAATGGGGAAATAAGAGAGTTTCCTCTTAAAGGTCAAGGCTGTCTAAATTGATGAAGCAGTGAAATGCTCACCAGAATAGTAACGAGGAGCTAGTGGACCTTGCTTTTCAGGTCCCCAAGGTGTGCCAGGGTGGGGAAGGTGGCAAGTAGCTTGTCCGTTCAACTGTTGGTGATGAATTAGAGGCATGATTGGTCCCTGCAGTGTCACTGAAGTGCTTAGGATTCCTAAGTGATCCTCCTGCTCTGTTGCAGATGTGTTGAAGATGCTGGAGGGATATCAGCCCTTCTGGTGCTTGACTTCTATTTTGGAAAATTAGACACACCTTCACATTTTGTTCAGCTGGGTGCAGCATTGTGCATGTCCTAATGATGGTACAGCTAGATGGAGAGCCACCAGAAGGGCAACTTACCTAGCTTCAGAGATCTCCCTGGGAACCGAATCACAACTCGGTGAAGAAACCAGTCTTTGCTCCTTCTTCTCCCAAGAGACCATTGTCATTTCTGTGTTTGTGTCTTGGTGCCTGTAGTCTTTTGTGTACAATCACACTTAGCTCTGTAGGTTCCTGAAGCGACTTGAATTTATAAGTTTACTTGATCTGCGAAGTGTGTGGGGAAGCGCAGGGGTTTTCTCATCCAGGTCAGTGATGACTTTTGACCCTGACAGATTATGTAGCGTATATCTCAAACCTGATGCTGACATGGTTTTGTTTGTGGTCTGGCTTTTTTCATGCAGGAGATCAGCCACAATCTAGGTGTGTGCTACATGTACCTGAAACACTTCAACAAGGTAATGCTTATCTTATCTGCGTGACAAATAGGAAGCAGAGTTCCAAGAAATTTCACTGTCTTTGGTGGTCTGAAGTGGATCATTTGCAGTGATAGGCATCAAAGAAGTTTTTCGCTTCAGCATTTGTTTCTGGGAGCAAAAGTTTGTGAGCTGTCGCTGTTTTTATTTGCATGTTGAGTTACTTTGAGTCAGCTGCAAGTTAATGAGGTTAGTGAAGGTCGCTTTCAACCCAAACTGTTCTGTGAATCTATGCAGTTGGATAAGAGTGAAACTGAGGTTAGCCTTGTTTCTGGACAGGAGGCTTTTTCTGAACTAGGGCTTTTGAGAGAGTGTTTCTGGTTTTAAAGGGAACGTTTGAGAAACCTCAAAGAGCTGCCTCAAACTCGACAGAAAATCAGCTGTGCTCCAACAAGAGCTGCTTCTGTTTCTGACCCTTTTAAAACCAGAGCCATGAACACTGCTGGTTTTGTGAGGAACAGCAATCTGTAGAGCATGCCAGTTCCATCTTCTTGAAGAAAGAAAAGCGTGATGGTAAAGACCCAAACCGTTTCCCCAGCATACAGCTTAAACTGCTGCACCTTGTGCAGAGAGTGTCTGAAGGAAAACTTGCTGCTCCTTGAGTCTGGCAGGATTCAGCAAGAAGAGGTGCGGGGTTGGTTTGCTGGAGGTGCAGCAGGCACCTTTTTTCCTCCATGGGAAGGATTTGCTACTGTGTCTGAAGCTCCACCAAGCCTGGAGCAAAAGTCACAAAATAGTGTGGGCAGCACTAACTGTATTGGCTTTGTAGCTAATAAAGAGGTTCTTGGAAGCTTGAAATCCCAGGTCTGTGCACGCCATATCCAGCTCTTCGCTTAACCCTCCCCTAGGTGCTCGTGGTGAGCACTGAGCTGTCTCTGACCCCATGGGCTTACTTAGTAAGGGAAAAAACAGCATTTGGAGAACTGTAGTTCCCAGTTTGGACCAACTGCTCCCGGCTGCTCTTTCTGGTGGAGTGCTGTGGCCCTTGCAGCAAACCCCTGCTGCGTTCCCTGTTGGAGGCATCACTGCAAAGCAAGAAGCTCTGGAATATAAGTTCATGCTTGGGATTTGTTGTCTGCAGCAGTGCTTTCCAAACTGCTGACTTCTCAGCTTTTCCATAAGTCTGAGATGTACGGGTCACCCTGGGCAGCCATACTTCCATGAGGACGTCTAGAATATAATGAAGCCCTTGGGGATGGCTGTAGTTGCTGGTAACAAATACCCTGTATTGCAGAATTCCATTACTGTGTCAGCATTTCTCTTTCTAATATATCACGTGTTCAGAGACAGCAAACATACTTTGCTGTCCTGCTGGCTAGGCCTGAGGAAATAAGAGGAAGGCATGCTTCAGAGTGTCTCCTGCTGGAGGGAATCGGTGTGGTGGAAGAGCTGATTCACTCCTCTTGTGTACTTAGCAATCCATGCTCATTGCTGGAATAAGCATTTTGGCGAAGACTAAACTGTAATGTACCTGTTAACCTACCAAATCTGGAGATTCCCTCAAACCAAGCACATTCAAATAGAGGAACAGGCCCATGCTCCTCTCCTCCCTGGGAGGTCATTGCCTCATGTCTTGGCTTGAAGCACCCGATGTTGCCTTTTTCTGTTCCTAAAGGCGCGTGGCTCCTGATGCAGAACTCGTTTCAACAGTTAGCTGGGCTGGGTTTTGCTGGCAGGTTCTCTGAGCTCAGGGGGTGTTCACGGTTCCTTTTCGCTAGCTGCTGGGGATTGCTCTTGGGTTGTTGCTTGACTGAGGGTATCTGTAATCACTTTTTTTTTTTTTTTTGTGCTCTGTGGTCGTGTGTTTAGGCACGAGACCAGCTGAACAATGCCCTGGAGCTCAACAAACATGATCTGACTTACATGATGCTGGGGAAAATTCATCTATTGGAGGGGGAGACGGATAAAGCCATTGAAGTCTACAAGAAAGCTGTAGAGTAAGAATATGTCCCTTTTTCTATCTGCTCATGTCCCGTGCTATGCCAGTAGAAATTTGATTGGTGTCCCAGCTCTGAATTGAGGACATGATTGAAAAGCTAATGGTAATTATAGTGTCTGTGTGCAAAACTGGCACTTTCAAGCTCTTTAGCTGTCTCTGCTCTCAGCTGTAGTCCTCCTTCTGCTGACAGTGTGTCGGGCAGGAAGGTAGCTGTTTGAAGGTCTGCCAAAAAAAAGTGGAAAAACAAATGGATTGAGATGCCTGGGAGCAAACTGATCCGAGACTGACTGCATAAATCCCAAAGGTTTATCTACCAAAAAGATCTAACCCTGGGTGTCTGTCTAACCCCGATTGTCTGTCAAAAATCGGTTGCTGGGTTTCACACACTGTTTTCACTTGGAGTGGTTTGTGTTTGAAGGCATGTGAGTAGGCAGACTAGAGATGGGTTGGTGCGTGGTGAGTTTCTCCCACCCCGTCACCGTTTCTCATTACTGATCTATCTTGTTTCAGGACATTCCTGAGCATCTGACTTAGCAATGCTTTTAGAATGTAGTTTTGTAATGGAGGCAAACACTAAAGAAAAGCAGGAGCATGTCGGAAGCCAGCGCAGCATCTACATCATGTACTGGCTCTTTTCACATACTGTTTCCTTACATGTCTGCTTTTGGCTGCTGTCAGACAGTATATTGGGTTGAGTAGACATTTGGACTAATCTAGAATGTTTATTACTTAAATAATCCTTGTTAAGCATCTTACCAGGTTTACGTATCTTATCTTATATCTTGCCCTCCCTTCTTCTTCAGTCCCGATTTTTTCTTCTTTTTGTTCTCATCTGCCTATTACATTTTGCCTGCTGTTACCAGCACAGAATAGTCTGTCACTGGTCTCTGGTTTTATACCACTAGGCATAGGCAGTTTTGTGCTGGTTGGGATTTAAAGATGCCTATGGGGTTGTACACATTAAATTTCTTAAGTCTTGATAGCAGGGTCTTCTGCTATCAAGGTGAGTGAGGCCACAAATACATTGTCTCTTTCTGCTTTTTCTTTTTTGTTGTTGTTTTCATCTTACTTATTTCTTCAAAAGCTGCTGGGAATGGGGATGCTTTTAAAAGGGTTCACGACATTGCTGTGTGAACCTTGTATTAGCAATGAAGGACTGGGAATTGTATACAGTAATTGGAAGCCCTTGGGATGCATTTTTTCAAGCTTCTCTGCTGAATGGAGTGGCTTGTATGGCCAGGGATACGTTAACTGCCAGGATGGTGCCTGTCTGAGTGCTCTGATCTGTGGGCTGCAGTGGAGCACAAAGCCGTGGTGAGCAGTCCACAGCTGGTCTGTGAAACCAGGTTTGTAATCTTTTCATAGCGTGAATTAAAAGTCTGATGACAAGCGTGTGTAGGATCCATCAGAAATGCCGAGGATTGCCTGTCCTACATGGCCCAAGAGGCTTCGGATGGATTTACAGGGTGGCTTATGGGAGACGATGGAAAATCCTGTTTTGTATTTCCAGGTCACTGATGCAGACTCACTTTGAAGCTTAACAAAACCACATTATCTTATTATGCATCCAGATCTATTTCACAGAGCTGTGCTGACTTCCCATTTATACCAGAAGACATTTTGAAAGCTTAGTTGTAGTCTGTTCAAAGGAAGTCCCCGTGATGGCACATGTTCTAATATTTGCATTTATTAGCAGTTACTTTCCCGTGGTGATACTAGTATAATGTAGCATTGTAATTCCATGTTCTGATTTTACTTTGTTCTGGAAGGGCTGATGAACAACACAGCTCTCTGGCTTTTGTATTACAGGTTTTCCCCAGAAAATGCAGACCTCCTTACAACACTGGGGTTACTTTACTTGCAGGTACTGAAGACTGTTAGCTGTTACATTAACTTAATTATTTTCAAAATGACCAAGGATTTTTTTTTAGAGTTAATTTCTATCCAGCTTCCTGTGACTTGCACACGTTTATCTAAAGACTGCATTTAACATGACAGAGCTTGCTTGTCTGTATCTTTTTTTTTCCCTTTGCTGCTAAAAGCAAGTGGATTTTCTGGACCTGAGCCAGAGCAGGCATTCTGTTTGACAGCTGCCCTAATTCTGTTATAAATCCTCCAAGTATGACAAAACGTGACTAGTCATTACCTTCCTTCTGGAGCAGGAGTCTAGCAAGTTATTCTCCTACAAAAGCAGCCATGAAATTGTTAGTGTTAATGCACCATAGAAGAAAATCGAAGTCAATGTAAATAACAAAGGCATGCTTATCACTTGGGTGTGTAAAACATATAGGAAGGACTGTCTGATTATTCCAAAAGTAAGCTTCCCGAAGAGTCAACAAGCACAGAAGAATCGGCAGTAGTGCCTGAAAGGACTGATGGACTACAAAACTTGCACGAAGTGCTGATTCAGAAAGATCTGTAAGCATTTCCCTAATAGTTTAGATGTTCGAGAATGAAATGTAGATCTTGAAAAAAATTGCCATGCTCTAGAGATAGGGAAATTCAATAGGAGCCTTGGACATCTGCTAGAAGTATTATAACATTTGCCCTGGGAGTTTAGCCCCCAGGACTCTGTGCTGTGATTCGTTTGTTCAGTCTGTCGCGTCTCTCTGGATACGTGCTCACCTTCAGGAGTTGTAAAGATGCTGCTACAGCTTTCCCACTTGCTATTAGTTACAGAAGGTGCTGGACTCTGATTCATCTGTGTAATTGCTGGAGTGACAGACGGGCTTCTCATCAGTTTTCGTGACAAAAAAAGGATACCAGTATCCAGAATTTTATCCTGTTTGGGCTGGTAGAATTCTAGCATAGCTCAATGGAAAACAACAGGATTTAAGTGATTCTAAGCAGTAATGCGCTTACGTAGGGACACAGTCGTGCCCGCTGACACCTGCAGTCCATTAGAAGACAAGGGGAGAGACTTTTTGCCATGAAAAGAGTGCCCTGGGGAGTTGTGGTGAGGGCATCGAGGATGTGCAGAGTAGCAATTTGTAGCCTCTTTGCTGGAAGAGAGGAAGGAGCAGAGGAGTATCAAGCCAGAGCTCGCTCCTGTATAGAAATGGCAGAACACAAATTGTGTGGAAACCTATGCTTTGGTCAGAACAGTGAATCCAGCTCAGCAAAATCAATTTTTAGAATCTGTTCTGTAAATTATCAAATAAGAATGTGGGGTGTGATGGGAGCACTGTAAAATTCACTTTTCTGAATCTTTATTTTAACGGAATCAGAAATTCTGGTTCCCAAAGAGCATGTGTTCTACTTCTTAACCCCCTTATTCCTGAATTTCTGATGCTCATGTACTTCTTTTCCCAGCTTGGGGATTACCCGAAGGCTTTTGAACACCTTGGAAACGCGCTTACTTACGACCCAGGCAACTACAAGGTATCATGAGGAGTGGAAACGAATGAGCTGAATGATGATAAGTCACCTCTTAAAGCTAATTCCAGTATCACGGCTTTGCCATGTGTATCCAGGGTCTTAGCCTGGAGAGGTGAAAAAGGATCATGCCCAGAAGGCTTTCTCCAAAATAGGTTTCTGGGCTTTTT